TTGACAAAATGTCTCTTTAAATTTTCTAACTTGAATTTTTTTTTACTGTTGAGTTTTGAGAGTTTTCATATATTCCAGATACAAATCTTTGTCAGATATGTGGCTTACAAGTTTTTCCTCCTGGTACACAGCTTGTTTGGGTTTTTTTGTTTGCTTTTTTAGGGGTTGTTGTTGTTGCATTCACATGGTTTTTCAAACAGCACATTTTTAATTTTAATGAGATATAATTCATCAATTTTTTCTTTTATGCATTTATTTTCATGTATAGTCAAAGAAATATTTTTCTATAACTTAATTCTTAGTATGTTCTCCTACGTTTTTCCTAAGTTTTACAGCTTGACATTTTGTACAAAATCAGTGATGGTTTTTAACCTATGTATGCTCTGGTCACATCTGTCAAAAAGGTGCCTCCTCTCCATTTACTGCATTGGCACTTTTGTTAGAAGCACGGTCTGCTTCTGAGCTCTGTGTAGGTTGTTAAGGTTGGTTTCCACCCTCGTCCATGCATGCTGTGCTGATCAATATGGCTATGGAGCAGGCACTGAGATCAGAGAGAGGCCTCCAAGTTGCTGTCCTTGTGGTGCCTGCTTCAGCTGTTTGTAAATAAGTTACCTATTAAAACAAACAATAAAACTTCCTGCAACTCTGACAGAAATTACACCAAGCCTACAGATCAATGCTTGGAAAACTGTGTCATGTTGCAACCCAAGAACTTCATATGTCCATTCACTTAGGTCTTTTTCCATTGCTTTAATCAACATCCTATAATTTCCAGCATGCTTGAGATTTCACTTTCACAAGAGTGACTTTAACAGTGTTATGTTTTTCATTTTCACATGCGTTTTTGCATATTTATCTTATAACCTGCCACCTTGTTGAACTTTATTTCCCAGAGGATATTCATATATCTCTTGTGAGGTTCAACATACCATCATGTCACCTGCAAACAGGGATATTTTTATTTCTCCTTCCCAGGCTCTGTGTCCTTAATTTCCTTTCTTGCCTTGCTCAGAGATGAGAGTGGCCAGCTAAGATTAGTAGAGCAAACATCCCTGTGTCCAAGTAGAGTAGGATCCAGTCTCTACCACTCCACAAGACGTGCTGCAGGGTTTGTAGATGCTTTCTAACTGGATGAGGCTACTGTCCTCCAATCCTACCTGCAGAAGGCTTTTGTGTCAATGGGTACTAAACTTAATCAAATATTTTCCCATCATCAATTGCTGGTACATGAGATTTTTCCTTGGTCTCTGATAGAGTGGGTCACATTGGCTGACTCCAAAATGTGGGACTAGACAGACTTACATTCCAGGAGTCACCTCTACTTGTTCATGTTGAGGAACTCTCTTTATTACTGATGGCAATTGGTAAATATTTTCTTAAAAATTTTCTGACTATTTTCATTAGGGGATATCTATCAGTCTGTAATTCTGTCTGGGAGGTTTTTTTCTGGTGTTCGTATAAAGATAACCCCGACCTCATAAAATGAGCTGAGTAAATTTCCACCAACTATTTCCCAGAAACTACTGTGTGAAACTAATAGTAAATCTCCTTTGAAGGTTTTAAGGAATTCTCCAGTGAAACTATCTAGACCTGGCTGTTGCTTCTCAGATCTTTTACATACTAATGCAACTTCTTACTGACTTTTTCCCCATTATTCTAAAGAATATTTTCTTGCCCACTACCATACCGGCTCTTTTGTTTTGTTCAATTTTAAGTGACGTATCTTCCTTTCTGAGTGGACGAGAAGACATGTTCTTGTCAATGGCATAGAGCTCGGTCATGTTTTCTATCCACTCTGCATTTCACTTTATTGCTATGTTCAGAACATTGACAATTAGTGTAATTTATTAATAAAACAGAATACAAGTATGCATTATTTTACCTTTCTTCTATAATTTCCTCCATTTTTCATCTCTCCCTTTTCGTGTATACTCTGAGTCCTTGTTTGGAGGACCTCAGGTTATTTACAGAACTTCAGAGTACATCTGTTCACATACTTTATGTAATGTTTCTTCTGGACATGACAATATATACTGTAATACATATTTATCAAATCGCATTAACTCAGAAAAATAAGATAAAGAGACCTTAAGCTATACTACAGAGCTATAGTAACAGAAACGGCATGGCACTGGCACCAAAATAGACTTGTAGACCAATGGTACAAAATAGAGGACCCAGAGACAGACCCACATAAATACGGTTATGTCATTCTAGACAAAGGTGCCAAAAACATTCACTGGAGAAAAGGCAGCCTACTCAACAAATGGTGCTGGCAAAACTGGAAATCCATACGAAGCAAAATGAAATTAAACCTATCTCACCCTGCAGAAAAATCAACTCAAAGTGGATCAAAGACTTAGGCAGTAGAACAGAGACAAGAAAAAATAGGCACAAATCTTCATGATGTCAGCCTAGGATCTGACTTCCCTAACAAGACTCCTAAACCGCAAGAAGTAAAATCAAGAATCAATAAATGGGATGGATTCAAATTAAAAAGCTTCTTCTCAGAAAAGGGAACAATCAATAAGGTGAGGAGAGAGCCTATAGATTGGGAGAAAATCTTTAACACAAGCACCTCCGATAAAGCATTAATCCCTAGGATATATAAAGAACTCAAAAAACTTAACACCAGAAAAACAAATAACCCAGTCAATAAACGGGCTAATAGCGGAACTGAACAGACACCTCACAAAAGAAGAAATACAACTGATCAACAAATATATGAAAAAGTGTTCAACATCTCTAGCAATTAGAGAAACGCAAATCAAAATTATATTAAGATTTCAAATCACTCCTGTCAGAATGGCAATCATCAAGAATAGAGAAAACAATATATGTTGGCGAAGATGTGGGGAAAAAGGTACCCTCATACATTGCTGATGGGACTGAAAATTGGTGCGACCACTATGGAAAGCAGTATGGAGATTCCAGAAAGCTGGGAATGGAACCACCATTTGACCCAGCTATTCCCCTCATCGGTTTATACCCAAAAGATTTAAAATCAGCATACTACAGAAATACAGCCACATCAATGTTTACAGCAGCACAATTCACCATAGCTAAACTATGGAATCAACCTAGGAGTCCCTCAATAGATGAATGAATAAAAAAAATGTGGTATATGTATTCAATGGAATATTAGTTGGTTTTAAAGAAGAGTGGAATTATGGCATTCATCAGTAAATGGATGTTTGGGGAGGATATCATGCTAAGTGAAAAGAGCCAATCCCACAAAACCAAAGGCCAAATATGCGGATGCTAACTCACAATAAGGCGAGGGAGAGGGTGCAGAAGAATAGCATTACCTTGGATTAGATAGAAGGAAATGATGGGAGGGGATGGGAGATAAGAAAGATAGTAGAATGAAACAGACATTATTAATTTATGTATATATATATTACTACATGACCAATATAATTATGTAATATGTATACTCAGAAAATTAAGAAATTATATCCCATCTATGTAGGACATATCATAGGGTATAAATAATGCATTCTATTGTCATGTATAACTAATTAAAACAAATTTTAAAAAAGCAAAAAAACAACAAAAGAGTAAATGGCTATTCCCAGATGAAGGAAAAGCAACATCCTCTTCCCCCAGAAGCTAGTTCTAATCAGGGTATAAAAGGCACTAACAAGGTCCATTGAGTCTGTTTTGATCCTGCAACCATGGAGGCAGCACACACCCATGGGCTGCAGGAACTGTGTGAAGGCTGCACTTGCCACCTCTTCCCTCTTTACTTGATATGTGCTAGAGAAGCAACATTTTAGCAAACAGATTTATCCCAAGTTTTAGAAACACCCTGGTAAGCTAGGAGACAAACTTAACATTTCTTTCTTTTCCATATTGCACACATAAGAATAACATAACCTTCAATGGGACTGATTTTTATTTAAACAAATACTTTGACAGCTTTTATCTTATTTAATATTATATTAAAGTTTAGAACAATCCAGAGCACTATAATTCTGCAAGTATCAGTTGATATGGTTGTTATTAAATAATACTTTTTTTTTTAAACAAAAGATTGTTTCTTTGGGGGCTGGGGTTTGGCTCAGTGGTGGAGAGTTTGCCTAGCATGTGTAAGACACTGGGTTTAATCCTCAAAACCACATAAAAATAAATAAAATAAAGACATTCTGTCCATCTACAACTAAGAAAATTAAAAAAAAAAAAAAAAAAGATTGCTTCTTTGGAAAAAAATGATGAACTCTTGCAAATAGTATTTTTAACAAGTAAAGTCCCTAACATTGGGTTTAAGTTAGAAAAGCTGTAACTCATGGTTTTTCCACCCAAGACATGTATAATAAAAGCTTATTCAACATCGAGTTCTGGAGCTGAGGACAATTCTGTTGCTCAACACCACTGTAAGAGTAACATGGAATACAGAGAGAAAATAGCTACATGTTCTAAGACATACACGTAAGGAAGTAGGCTCCGTGACTAATGAAAGAACTCCTCCTTTCAGCCCTAGAGGACCTGCACTATAGCAGGCCATCAGTTAAAAAAAAAAACAGTAAGTGAAAACCCTAAGACAAGTAACAAGAACTAGCAAACTGTAAAGAGAACTCACTCTCTTACTTAAATCAGTTAACAAACATCTTATTTCAGTCAAAATATGACTATACCTATATACATTAAAATACACTAGTAAAACAGAATGTACAAACATCTAGATTTTTGCTCAAGTACATCAAATCTTACATAAAGATATTAGGATTTAAAACACCTGTCTCAAATAATTTCATTAAGATTCAAAAGTTGGGGCTGGGGTTGTAGCTAGGTGGTAGAACACGTGCCTCACACATGTGAAGCCGTGGGTTCGATCCCCAGCACCACATAAAAAATAAATAAATAAACAAATAAAAATAAAGATATTATGTCCATCTACAACTAAAAAAATTTTTTTTAAATTCAAAAGTTACTCGTAATAAAGCTAAATGTTAATGACAGCATATACATAGATCTAAAATATATTAAAATGCATCAACCTTTTCCACTATGATGAGGTCTCCAACTTGTATGTCTGAACTCTTAACTTGCACTTTACCTTAAAAAGAAGAAGAAGTACAATCAACTCAAGGAAACAATGGCACAACAGAGATCAACGTTGAATTGACAGATATTTAAAAATAACTCTAAGGCAAAATCAATGAAACAAATGCAAACACCAGGAATTTGTCTATGTTCAACTCATACTTTCAAAGTAGATTTCATATAGACATTGTCACTCACAATTAACTTCTGTAGTAAACACAAGTAATTAACTATCCCACATTATTTTTTTTTTTAAGGTGAGAATTTTCTTGTGGTCATTGGAAAAGGTGTACCATTTGGAAGGGTCTTCCTGTACTCTGTCAGTGTTAAAGTTTCCAATGATGAAAAACATTACTCAATAAAATAACATGACAACTAAAGCTGAAAAACATGGATATATAAAAGTCCTTAAATTAGTATCATACATGACACTGGCACAAACCTCACAGGCAAAATAAATAAAGCAATAACATATAAAATCATCCTCTACTGGTAGCTTTACCAGCACAGGACAGAACTTAAAAGAATGTCTGTTTTAATTATCATGAGCATGGTTACTTGAAGCTTTCCTCTTGCTCTCAGGACTGTTTCACAGCCACATGTCTGACAGTGAATAGGCCCGCTGCCCCAGGCCCTGAGTATACTCCACAGAACTCTGTCATTTCCAACTTCATCTTCTTTCCTAACTATATAATTCATTCTTCCTTCTCACCATTTACATTCTTTGTAATGGACACATTAAAAAATGAGAGAAAAACACCAGGAGTCATAAGATGTAATAAATATAGTAAATACATTTAAAATACTTTGAAACAAAAAAAAAAAAAAACACTCTTTTTATTCCTTAATTAAGATCTTAAATTCCCAAGAAAGGTTTATTATTCTGTTATATGGTGACACACAGCATATATTTAATAGCCTTTGATTTTTTTATTACTTATGTAATAAGTGACTGCTACTCTTTTCTATGGAACAACCTTGTAATTTTGCTTAAGGAAAAAAGTTCAAGGCAAATGATAGCATCAAAAGTTCTCAAAATGTTAATATTATTACACTATGAACAAAATATTAGAATACTAAGTCAGGCACAGTGCCATGTGCCTGTAGCCCAAGGTACTTGGTGGCTGAGGCAGGAGGATCCCTTGAGACCAGGAGTTCAAGACCAGCCTGGAGAACACTGCAAGATCCCATCTCAAAAAAAGAGAGAAAATATCACAAAGTTAAATAATGGTCCACTCACTAAACAGTGTGGCCATCTGCTCCAAGTCTGCTCAGCTATAGGATACATTTCTAAATGCTGAAGACAGTCAAGCTATTTTAACAGGTACTAACTTCTTGAATACTGTCAACCTACATTCAGGGGACTATATACATTTCCTTCAGTGCCTCTGCCACCACCTGAACTCAGTGACTTCTCATCCTTGGGCAGGGAACTTTCAGGACACTGAACAGAAGAGACGGGGGAATAGCCACCCGCTCTCCACAATCTGCCTGCTGGTGAAGGCCCAGCAACACTGACCTTTTTCTGCCTCATTCTAACAGCCCTTGCCTTAAGCTAGGAATTTGCTAGGAATTTGATTTCGGGTCAACCCTTGGTTAACCGAGCTGCTAGCTTGTCACTTGTAATGTTACAGGTAGGAGAGTGAAAACAAACTTACAACTCAGAACATATTTAAGGCACAACTGGTCCATAGAGCTCAATACAGTTTGTTTAGGAACTTAGAGGTAATTTTAAGAGCACACTTTAGAAGGAAGCTCCAACAAAGATACCTCAATGTCAATGCTACCACTGAAGCTAATGGCACTTTTTTCTTTGAACATCATATTCCATTTATTCCAAGTAATGCTCACAATGTCATACAGTACTGGCCTTTTACTTTGTAACGAAACAGGTAAGGTTTGGAGGTGTGACCCAATGGTAAGAGCACCTGCCTACCATGTTTCAGGCCATGGGTTCAATCACCCGAGCTACCAGAAAACAAAGAAAAAGAGTTAATAGTGATAACAATAATACTCTCTACTCCAAACCATTTCAATTATGTCCTCCTTCCAGAAAAAAAAATGTTCCCTGACACTGTGGTTCAAAAACCAAAAAGCTGAGATTCTCCCCCAAGAAGGGAAGCTTCCATGAGACTTTTGCCATGAACGAAGCTAAAGGGGCTCTTCTACAAGAAGTCCTAAGTACAATACACAGCAGTCCAGCATGCTGCTGCTCGATGATGTGCCCCATATACAAAGAATATGGCACTAAAAGGTCTCCATTTCTATGACTTCCCTAATTCAATCTGAATACCAAATGATGCAATTTAGAAAACAGGATTAGGTTTATCCTCCCTCAAAAACCCCCATTATTAGGTAATGTTATTAGAAGATAACTCGTATACGTATCATAGCAGAGAGGTTCTTTACAACTGTCCCCCACATTAACTTCTGGCTATACCTGCTATCAACCTTCCTGCTGCTCCTGCTCTATCCCACCTGCACAGCATTCGACAATGGTGTGCTCTCCCGTGCTTCTTTTGCTTCCTGGAACACATGCCCTTCACTTGTCCATCAAGACCCCTCCCTTCCAGATCACCTCGACCACACTATCGTAAACTCCATGAACACACTACTAAATAACATGTGACGATGCTAAAAATATTCAAATATGAGCATCTATTAAATTTCACATCCTGTGAATGGTTCAAAGCATTAACTAAAATGAACTCTCATGGCATCTAATAAATACTTACTTTGGAAATGCACATCCAAAATTAGGTCTTTCAAAATCAAAACAGGAACAGATATTCAATCTACCCCTTCTTCCCTCACATTCTTTGTTCATTAGGGTACACATAATGGCAGAATGTGTTGTTAAATATTAGTACATGCACACAAAATAAGAACAAAATTTGGCCAATAACCCTTCCTAGCACTTCCCACCTTCCTCCCCTCTTCCCAACCCCTGGATCTCCTTTCTTTGATCTGCTGATCTCCCTTTGCTTTTCATGCAGTCACCCATATTTATTTCCTATTCATTCACTAACTTTTACAAATGAGAGAAACTATTGACCTTCTGAACCTAGCTTCTTTCACTTAACATAATGGTCTCCAGTTCCATCCATTTTCCTACAAATTATATAATCTCAATTTTCATTATTGCTAAATAAAATTCCATTTGGTACATATATATTTTCTTTACCCATTAACCCACTGACAGGCACCTAGTCTGGTTCTATAATTTGGTTACTCTGGTTTATCCTGCTATAAACATGGGTATGCCTGTACTACTCTAGTATGCTGACTTTAATTCTTTAGGCTAAATACCGAGGAGTGGTATAGCTGGGTCATGTGGTAGATTCACACCTAATCTTTTGAGGAACCTGGTTTCCATAGTGGTTGTACAAATTTACAATTACATAATTACAACTTTTTTTCCACATCCTCTCCAACATTTATTATTATTTGTTTTCTTGATGACTGCCATTCTGACTGGTACGAGATGAATTCTCAGTATAGTTTTGATTTGCATTTCTCTAATTGCTAACAGTATTGACCATTTTTTCATGTATTTGTTGGCCAGTTGTATTTATTGTTTTGAGAACAATGTGTTTAATTCACTTCTCCATTTATTATTTGGGTTACCTGGATTTTTTGAGTTCTTTATATATTCTAGATATTAATCCTCTGTCGGAATAGCTAGCAAATATTTTTCTCCCATTCTGTATGATCTCTCTTCAGATTCTTAACTGAATTCTTTGCTGAGCAGGTTTTTTTTTTTTTTAAGTTGTTGATGAACTTTTATTTTATTCATTTATTTATATGGGGTGCTGAGGTTCAAACCCAGTGTCTCACACAAACACTCTAGGCAAACACTCTACCACTGAGCCACAACCCCAGTCCAAGTTTTTTTTTTTTTTTTTTTGATGCATCCTATTTATTAATTCTTGACATTATTTCCTGAGCTTTAGGGGTCCTACTGAGAAAGTTGTTGCCTGTGCCTATATGCTAAAGTATTGATCCTACATTTTCTTCTAGAAGTTGCATAGTTTCTGATCTAATTTCTATGTTTTTGATCCACTTTTTTGTTGACTTTTGTGCAGGGTGAGACATAAGGACAGACTTTCATAATTGTACATAAGAATACCCTGTTTTTCTACCACCATTTCTTAAAAGAGGCTCTCTTTTCTTAAATGTGTGTTTTTGGCACCTTTGTCAAGAAGCAGATGAGTGTAAATGTGCAGGTTTGTCTGTTTTCTATGCTGTACAAAATAGCATAGTTCTGTGTGTCTGTTTTTATACCAGTATCATACAGTTTTTGTTTTATGATCTGTAGTAAAATTTGAAGTCAGGTATTTTGATACCTTGAGCATTGCTTTTTTGGTTTAGAATTGCTTTGGCTATTCTGGGTCTTTTATTCTTTCAAATAAATTTTAGGACTCTTTTCAGTGAAGTGGTATTCTGATGGGGTCTGCATCGAATTTTTATATTGCTTTTGGTGATAGTAATTTTAACAATATTGCCTATCTATGAACATGGGAGGTCTTTCCATCTTCTGAGGTCTTCTTCCATTTCTTTCTTCAGTGTTCTATAGTTTTCATGGTAGAGGTCTTTCATCACCTTGTTAGATTTATTTCTAGGGTTTTTTTGGGGGGTGGGGGGGTTTGTTTCCAATTTCTTTCTCAGCAGATGTGAACATCTTTATCTTTTACCAGATTTTAAAGGAAATGCTTTCAGTTTTTCCCCATTTACTATGAGGGTGGCTTTGGGGTTTTTGTATATACCCTTTATCTTGGAAGGTTTTTATTTCTGATTTTGATATATAGCTTTCCTAGATACAGCAATCTTGATTGACAATTATTTTCTTTCAGGACTTGGAATTCAACATTCCAAACCCTCCTGATATTCAGAGTTTGGGCTGAGAAATTAGAAGTGATTTTGACTGGCTTGCCTTTCAATGTGACCTTTTCTCTTGAGGCTTTTAAAACTGTGTCCTTTTTCTGCATGTCAGGCATTTTAAGTGGTTCTTCT